CGAGGCAAAATGCAGGTTTTGGCACTTGGTGATGCGACGATAATTTCACGCAACTACACACATCATCAAAAGTATTGGACCCCCTGGTGTACTGGGAAATTATAGCCTTCTAATTTCAATCTTTGATATATTTTAAATTGGGGATATTTTTACTATATTTATTTAAAAAAACGTTAAATTAATTTCATTAATATGAAAAGAAAAGAAAGCTGAACAAGTAGTAGTAGTAGTAGACAGATTTATTTAGCACTTTTGGCTATATAAACAGAACAATTGTAAACAACTTAGAACTAGTAAATTCAAGCCATATGGTGTATGATGTAAATGCTGGGCAACCTATAATTGTAGATTTAACAAGTGATTTCTCAATTTTACTTTAAATTTTGTCAAAGTTTTCTGGTCTTTTATCTCCGAGTATAATTTATTATATTCAATCAACCCTTGATGGAATACAGATTTGTAGCATATGTTATACTTTTTGGTCATTAAATGGAAGTCATCTTTATTTCTGGTATTATGTAAATGATGGTCGACATTTGATGATGTTAAATTGGTTAGACTTGATGGAAATATTTTTTTTACTTTATAAATGAATATCATTACAAGATATTTGATAAAATTTTTTTTACATTGAGCCATTTTAATTTGCTAAGCATTTGCCTAATTGGAGATATTTATCTTTATTTAGTATTATTCTCATGCACTTATTTTGTAAAATTTGCAGTCTTTCAAAAATGGAATTATTTGCTAAATATAGAATAGTCGAACAGTACAAGAAATTTGGAAGAATGATGGTATTATAGATAATTTTTCTGCTATATGAACTCAGACATCCAGAAACTCTCGATAAATAGCCCACTTTACTACTAATCTTATTTATAACTTTTTCATAATGAATATCAAAAATTAATCGAGAGTTAACAAAAACTCCCAGGTATTTAAAATTTTCTACGAATTCAATATCTTCACCATCAATATTGAGTTGAACATTTGTACATTGTTTTTTTTCCGATTAACAAGGCTTTCGTTTTACTTGCATTTAATTTTAGTCTGTTAGATGCTAACCATTTTGAGACAAGCTTCAAGTCTTCATTTATATAAGAGATACCAGACTGAATATTTTTAGTATTTATATAAATCATAGTGTCATCGGCGAAAATTTGAATTTTGCATTTTTTGACTATGGCAGGTAAATCATTTATGTATAAAATAAAAAGAAGTGGTCCCAGGATACTGCCCTGTGGAACACCCAACGTATTTTCAATTGATTGATGAAAGAGTGTCATTAACTTTTGTAACTTGCATCCTTTTAGACAAATAATTTCTAAACCAATCTAAAACACTTCCTGTTATACCATATGCCTTTAATTTACCTAACAAAATATCTCTATCAATCGTTTCAAATGCCCTCTTCAAATCCAAAAATGGAGTTCGGTCCTGCAACCGAGTCAGTTAGTCTATCTGATAGTGAGCTCGTGAATTTACCGTATTAAAAGTGAACCATAACACAAACAATTTTCGACTTGCTACCATATAGTGCAAATCACGAACCAGGACGCATTGTGAGTAGGAAATATTGTGCTATATACCGAGAACATAGTAAATCAGTGGATCAAATACTCAACATTCCAATCTCAAGCGTTCGGGAAAAACGCGTCCACAATTTGGACCTCGAAAGAACAGGTCCGTATTCAGAAATGATATTTTTCCATACTGATATAAAACCTTAGCAACAATGACATCAACACCGATTAACCAACCCACACACTATTCCACAATTCTAACTACATATAACATCCAACCAACTCAAGAACAAGCTATAGTTTTCAATTCCATAGACGGAGCAAGAATACAAGATTACTTGCTCCAATTAGGACCAATGATTGACCCGAAGAACATTTTGTTTTGCTCTAGAATTTCCAATAACAGACTTTGCATATACCTCTCCAGCAAGGAATTAGTAAATAAATTCGTAGAGAACCCAGGGGAAATTGTAATACAAGGAGAAAAAAATTAAGGCCCGTAAATTAATTTCACCATCGGACAGGTTAGTGCTATCGAACGTTTGCCCAACAATACCACACGCAGTTTTTAAAGGAAAAACTACAAGATCTAGGCTTGAAATTAATATCTTCCATAACATTTTTGAGAATCGGAGCAACAGTACCAGAATACAATCACATATTAAGCTTCAGGAGGCAGGTATATATTACACCTCTAGAATCTAACCAAATACCTGAGTCCATCGAAATCACTCACGATAGTCTATCATATCGCATCTTCTTATCGCTAGACAGTCAGAAATGTTTTAAATGTAAACTTTCTGGTCATATTGCTTCACACTGTCCTTCTGTAAACAACACACCACTGACAAATAACAGCAACACACAATATAGTCAGCCAGAAATTTCAGCCACCGAAACCACTCAAAGGATAGAACAGAATCATAGCAAAACAACAGTTTTTTCTCCCTTCATCTCAACCAAGCAACAAGGAAATACCAGTACAGACATCCAACACCTCCACATGAACCACGAAGCGTAACATTCAGTAGCAGCCAGACAAATATAATAGATAAAGCACCCAACAAAAGACCCATTTCAAATATTTTAACACCTCCAGCAGCAAATACACCCAACAGTCCTACGTTCACTATTCCAAGAAACATTAACACCAAAAGCATAAGTCGGAAACTGGACCGTCGATCATCCAAGACGATGCTTTATCTCCAGTTAAAGCATTTATAGAAAGCCATACCCCACCACTCGCGTTAAATTGTGACCAGCTCAAGAGTTTACTGGAAAACACACATGGGGTACAAGACATAACACATATCATAAACGACTTTACAGATGATATCAAGGGACTTACAGAAATGTTACTACTAATATATTCTCATATAGATGACAGAACGCTAAAAAAAACCGCTGCACCAGACTTCGGAAGAAACTGGAACGCATCATCGACAAAAGTCTCAATGACTCTCTTAGCGATACTTCCTCAATAGACACATCTTTTTACTAAAATAAGAATCATGTCAATATTGCAATGGAACTTAAATGGATACTATGTCCATTTAAACATGTTAAAAAAACTGATAGCTGATTATACACCAGATGTCGTTTGCCTCCAGGAAACGCATTTCCACGACACAAAATCACACTCACCCAAAAACTATGCAGGATTTTTCAAAAACAGGCAAAGACCCACAGCAAGCGGTGGAGTCTCAATATACGTCAAAAGGGAGATACCTGTCCGACCAATTCCATTGAATACAAACCTTGAAGCTATAGCTATATCTATAGACCTCAAAGATGTACTCAACATATGTAACATTTACATCCCACCAGACTACCATTTGGAACCTGCCGAATTCCAAGCTCTGTTAGAACAAATACCCAGCCCTAGAATAATATTAGGAGACTTCAACGCCCACAGCATCTCGTGGGGCTCTTTTAAAAATGATCCTAGGGGAGAATTATTCAAGGAAGCACTTGAGACGAACAACCTAGCCTTACTTAACGATGGAAGCAGCACAAGGTTTGATGCTGCTTCAGGGAGATTTTCTACCATCGACTTAAGCGCATGCTCGCCGAGCCTTCTGACGCATCTGAATTGGACCACTGCTGATGACTTATATAATAGCGATCATTTTCCTATTGTCATCTCAGACTCAAGAAATGATAGAAGTGATACGATACCACCAAATAAATGGAGATTAAAAGAGGCCAACTGGACTGATTACTCGCAATATATAGACAACAATATTAACAACATCGATTTAACCGAAAATATAAACATAATAATAGAAAAGTTTAATACCTTAATCACCAAAGCAGCACAACAACACATTGGGAAAACAAAAACCGTCAAAAAGAAAAATCCAGTTCCTTGGTGGAACCAAGAATGCGAGACAGCACTCAAAGAAAGTAAATCAGCTCTAAATAAGTACAAAAGACACAAAACGACTGAAAACCTACGTGACTTAAGACAGAAGCAGGCCAGAGCAAGACTTACAACAAACAGAAATCAGAAAAAGTCGTGGCAAAATTTTGTTGAAG